ATTTCATCTGATTCCCAAAAACATCGTGCATCAACCGTCCCGTTGAGGAAACAATTACAGGCTTCACGAGGTAATCATTAAAAAAAAAAAAAAAAAAAAAAAACGTAATGTAGATAGGACCGCCTGATGGATAGTATTCGGATTACACCGATGATTTCACTATCATTCTTTGATATTGATGACTAAATATGTAAGAAAGGAATAAATAACAAACATGTGTTATTGGTCAAGACAGTAAATCGACCGCAAATAGGTGAAAGATAAAATCTTAGACGTCGACAGGCGGCGAAACTTGGAAAACAACAAAAGATTCGACTTGCATAAAATAGTCATCAATTCTACCATTCTACGAGATGAGTAAAGATAGTGTGAAGAGACCGAGAGCAAAGAGAGAAACATGAAGTACACCTTTGAGTTGATCGTTAGGCTTCGACGATTAACCCAACCGTATTATATGGGAACATTCTGAAGTTGCATGAAGATGAGAGTCTTATTTAAGGCATGACTCCTTCAGGACAGTTCGAGGCGCGTCCTGACAATATGCTTCAACTAAGAGAACTGCAATTGAGGCAATTGAAGTAAGTCAAAGGTTCTTGCTATACATTAAACAGGGAATTTCTCTTACGCCGTATTTTTTGCAGTCATAGCTTGGAACTTCGATTTTAATCAAGGACGGCGGAAAATTGTTTTTGGCAAGAGAATTCATCAATTCGAATCAACTGTAGTTCGTTCAATACCGCACTTAGTCTAGCAATTTTGCTTGCTGAGTCAACTGTATGTAAAGTTTTTTTTTTTAGTGTTATATCTCGACAGGAATGGTTGCCAAAATTTCAGGATGACGTTTGATATGAGTGTGCTTATTGGAGGCTTATGTGATTTTACATAATGATTTCGTTTTGTGTGTGAGTGTGATATGTGCAAGGAACTAAGATTAATTGATGGGTTTTCACACTTGGTTGAACACCGTTCTAGTCAACTGGTGTACGTCTCGTGCTTGGGAGATCAGCGCCCTGAGCCATGAGCAATGTCTGGGTCACGGAGCCATTTTACTCATGCGCACCTATGCTACAGCGAAACGAGCAAACACCCTCGCCTAACCTACCTCTGCAATCGCAAGTAAAAACTGTTGCATGTGGTGAGTAGCTCAGGAGGGATACGCCCCTAAGGGTAGTGACAACCCCTTAGGGAAGAAAGTTGTGCGACGTGGAAACATATCCTGTCGTAGGAAACCACGAGAAGTAAAACTGACGCACTCGGCTAGAGCGATAGAGGGACGACGCTACCACGACCATCTCGGCGGTTCGCAGGGATTATTTTGCATCGTCCTCGAGTTGTCTTTAAAATGTTTTTTGTTTAACTCATGCGTGACATGGTCGGGAGGGCTCTTGCCTTTTGTGAGAAAAGGCGGGAACCGATGCGCTTGACAACACTCCCCATTTCTCGTTGCGTGCATGGTCGATAATCGACCAATGATTCTCTCCACACAGCGTGTCGTTGATGGTGAGCTCGCTGACCTCCCGGTTCGTTGTACCCTCGCAGCCGTCATTGACTGAACTCCGACAGCTGGCCATAGCCACCTCTGTATGCAGTCGTAGCCGCTCCTGCATGGTTGGCATGACTATGACTGCAGCAACCTCCCTGCACACCAACTGTTGGCTCACCGGTGGATTGGCTGGGGTAATCGACGAAAACAGTACGCGTGACTTCTCTCTGGCCCCCTGAGGATAATTGAAGATCCAAGGGCGGGACCATCCCACGTCGGCCGTCAAAATACATGAGCGATGTCATTGCTCCCTTTCTGGCAGCACCCAGCATCACTATTCGTGCACCCTCCGACATTAACTGGGTGGATTCGTACACTAATGGCAGGGTGGCAGGGGGGAGGGAGACAAGTCTCGTCATCTGGCAGGGGCTGCTGATGGGGCGGCAGATGGGCATAAAGAGTGGGGTCAAACCAGGGTGGGGCTTCGTTCCAATCACTGACCAACGGGCCTACTCCTGTGTTGTATGTGTACCTCTCATAGTCGTTCGCACCTGCCATGATTGCTGTCGGCTTCCTCTGGGATGTCGTCTTTGACGACCTCCGCTTGTGAGTCCTCGCACGACTGCACAGCAAACCAGACAGGTGCAACAGGACGATGACCACACGGACCAGCAACACGACACACAAAAGGACAATATTCCCAAGATGGTCAGCCATGCAATCCCACATGATGGACACGGCGGCAACCTACGAAGACGACAAGTGTGCTCGGAAGGCGACGAAGAGCACTGCATTGGTGTGCAGATTTCGAGGACATTGAGAACACCACACAATACAATATGGCCGTCAGCCATGAGATGTATGACATCTCACGCACAGCCAAAAGCAGGGAAGCGCGCACCACGATGACCACAGTGACCAGCAATACGACACACACAAGGACAATCTTTTGGGGATGGTCTGCCATGCAATCCCACATGATGGACACGGCGGCAACCTACGAAGACGACAAGCGTGCTCAAAAGGCGACGAAGAGCACTGCGTTGGTGTGCAGATTTCAAGGACATTGAGAACACCACACAATAGAATACGGCCGTCGGCCATGAGATGTATGACATCTCACGCACAGCCAAACGCAGGGACGCACGCACCACGATGACCACAATGACCAGCAATACGACACACACAAGGACAATCTTCTGGGGATGGTCTGCCATGCAATCCCACGTGATGGACACGGCGGCAACCTACGAAGATGACAAGTGTGCTCAGAAGGCGACGAAGAGCACTGCATTGGTGTGCGATTTCGAGGACGTTGAGAACACCGTACAAAACAATATGGCCGTCGGCCATGTGATGTATGACATCTCACGCACAGCCAAACGCAGGGACGCGCACACCACCACTGACCATTCAAATTTTAACTTCCCTAACCAAACCCTTCCGCTCCCTCCCCCCTCCCCCGCCCCTGCCCCGGCAGCCCACTGGCGGGCTCCAACGCTATTCCACTCAATGGGCATGTCGCCCCCCCAAAGCACAAGCCACACTCCAACGACCCGTTGAGAGGCCTACCAGACGGCTGTCGGCGCAGCCGTCCCCTCGCACTTGAACTCAAGGCTCCCCAGAGAGGTACCTTGAGTTAAAGTGCGATTTTGCCCCGGCCGGACTGGAGTTTCGAGGGCGGGCACTTGAGACCCGGAAAGTCGACACAACTCCGCGGGGTCGTTCGGGTGGGGTCGAACGTGGTGTCGAACGTGGTGTCGAACGTGGTGTCAAACGTGGTGTCGAGGCCCTTAGTTCTTCTTGGCCTTTTGACTACAATTATCCTATAATTTATAAAAGACAAGATCAAGTGCAGTATGTGATCCGTAGTCCATCGGGGGCACGGTTCCACTAGCACACGAGTCATGGCCTATTTGGACCTGTGCGGCACTGTAAGAAAAGGAAGAAAAGTAATTTTAAAGACTTAAAAAAAAGAAAAATGGCCACGGTACATTTCCCAACATGGGAAGAAGTCGGACTTTTGAAAGTGCAGCCGTCCCACTAACCCTCCCGTCTCCACCCTCTGCTCCCCACCCAGCCAACACCTAATCAGGACAGAGTGGTACGTGACTGTTGCAGTCTCGCATACCACCTCGAGGGAGTCCCTTCGTGTGCCTKAYGGGACTCCCTCCTCTGACGGTTGCCATGCTGAAGCGTGCATTTCGTATATTTTGAGAGAATCGAAGTACTGGATGGGGTTAACAATTGACCCGGAAAAAGAACGGGGGCCATGTCCCACTTGCACCGTTGAGCTAGCTCAACGTTGAGTATTCTATTACGTGTGACCTGGGGTGACACACACGATCACACGAGGAGCGGGGCATCGGGCGGTTGAATTTATTTGTGAAATGATAAACGACTTTCGTTTTTTTTTTTGGGTCTAAACGAAGGGGAAAATGTGGCCGCCCCCGATTAGAACGCCCCCTACCCTGGCCCACTTCCGTTGAACTAGCTGCCTTTTCAAAAACGGGTTAGGTAGTTCAACGGTGGCTGCTCGGATAGATTTCCCCCGAAAACGAAAAATTATCGGACACAGGTTCATGATTGCCGTCGTGCCAGGCGCCGTGATCGGCGCGTAGTGTCAGACTACACTCCGTAAGCACAGCGCATGAGGTTCTTCACAGATTCGGGCGCAGGGAGTAATGGTAAGGATTTCGCCTTTACTTCTTTTATTTTTCAATATATTCACAGAATACAAAAAATTGTCGAAAAGGTCTTTATGGAATTGACAAAAAATGCGAGAAAATAGTTTTTTAATCACGAAAACCGTGTCGCACCGTTGAGCTAGCTCAACTCAACGGTGCAAGTGGGACATGGCCCCGGGGTCAAAATTATGCCCTTCGAGTAATTGWTTTTTTTTAATCTTTTGAAGAGCTGCCAATTAAAATGAGTCTTTCTATTTTCTTTTCCCGCCTCTATCTTGGGAACTGGAAAGAAAAAGCACAAAAAAAAAAAAAAAAACACCACTTCAGAATATAAATCCCTCGCAATTTTGCTGCCATCCGATTCTCCTGCATCAGTGGTCGGACGATGTCCCGCAGATGTCCCAAAGGTGTTTGTGGGACACGTTTTACCTTACTCCTTCGCTAGTGGAACCGTGCCCCGGGCGAAAACAAATAAGAAAAGAAGTGAAAAAAAAACACAACGTGTACAGAGGTTGAGAGAAGAGTATAGAATTAAAAAAAAAAAAAAAAAAGACCCAAGAGCCTAGCTCAGTGGGTACACCCATGAACTGTTGAAATACAGACCTGTGTTCGATATCCAGATGATGGAACTTGACGAATAGACCAACTACTAATGAATTGCTTGGGGCCGGTCAGCTCAATGATAATATCTCAAGGCCGTCACCCTTTAAAAAAAGAAAAAAAAAAAAAGAAAAAAAAAAAGTAAAAAAAAGTAAATGCTGGGACGAGCGAGGAAGCGAGTGGCGCGGCTTCTATAAAGAACGACGAGCGTTGCTCGTTTTCGCACGCCTTGTTTGCCCTGGCAGCTTTCTCTCTGCCCCGCTGCTTACCGTCATCGTCCATTTTCCTCGTTGTCGCAATCCCACGTGGCGTGCAATCAGTGAAGCCGGGTTGATTGAGAATATTTTCCCGCCACGAGGGGCACTGCTGCGTCAGTCCAATTGGGACTGACGGAGTGCCGACCGAGAACGAGTGACGATGGCCACGCTGGCGGGTGAACGTGTCGGCCGAGGTGGGCAACAAGGCGGCGCTGCTAGATGCAGTGCCACGGTTGTCGCACCGCTGGCGACGATAGCGGTGTTAGTGCTTCTCGCCTTAGTGCCTGCCGCTTATGGCTACGGCGTGAAGGAATTCATGAGGGATTACAAGAATCCGAGCGTGTCGCGCATCCAGGTGAGTGGCAACGTGATCCTCACTTCCAACCTCCCGCGTCTGGAGCGCAACCTGACGATCGTCGGCGCGGGACGCAAACGTCCCGTGATCGACGGTCAGAACAAGTACAGCGGTATCGCTACGAGCGACGTGCTGGTCGTCAGAAACGTGGAGTTCAGGAACTTCGTGACGCGCGAGGGGAGCGGCGGCGGCGCAATCAAGTCCTTCGGGGACAACAACAAGTTGGAGCGCTGTGTGTTTCGGAACAACAAGGCGTTGTCGAACGGCAGCGACAGCGACGCCGGAGACGGCGGGGCGATTTCCTTCTATGGAAACACCTGGACAATCACTAACTGTGAGTTCATCGGAAACCGTGCCGACGGGGTAGGAGGCGCGCTGTGGACTCTGGGCGAGAGCAGCGGCAGGGTCACTGGCAGCGTGTTCAAGAATAACTATTCCAAAAGCAGAGGCGGCGCCATAGGCTTCCGCGGCTCGTTCGCGCGCGTCGACAAATGTACCTTCGAAGGCAACAAAGAGGATGGGGAGGGCGGCGGAGCGCTGTCCTGCTCCAGATCGGCATGCTACATCTCAAATACCGCTTTCCGGAACAACGTGGCCAAGGGAGACGGCGGCGCAATCCGTTTCTTCGGCGATGAGGAGGGAGGGTTCGGGGTTCTGTGCAAAGGAAACACCTTCTCTGGCAACAAGGCGACGAACAGCTCGAGCAGCAACATTTACATCAGGGTGGACGAGGGCGGGGGATTGTCATGGAGCTTCTGCGCCAAGGCGCCGCCCAATACCTTCATTGATGGACCGAGCGGCAGTACCAAGAACGGCGATTGTAAGGGATGCCCGAAGTGAGAAAGAAGCGAACGCCGATTTGAGGTCAAGGCGGGCGGGCCGGACTGGGCATTGCCATTTGGATCCTCGTTGGAGCTGTACTGGGCCAAACTCACTGGCTATTCCCGCGCTGAGCGGCTGGGGTATTTCGTGTCTGGCTCTTCGTTAATGCTACTGATGTTGATTGCCATCATATACCGGGCGATAACTGTTTTCCTTCCTTTCGACCTAGTTAGGGCCGAGCCAATGTCTGGTTCGAGGTGGAAGCTTTACTGATTCTGCGAATGATGTGGTCATTTACATCACGGAGGCATCAGCTTGGCATGGTGTAGCGATGAAGGTGGCAGTCCGCTGTGGCGGGCTGAGCGCGTTCGAAAGTCGTGTTTTTTTTTTCTAAGTAGATTGTATGGGAGCAGGTCTGTGCGTAGTTAGTCAGATATCACGACATGGGCGTAGAGAGAGGAAGACCTATCACAGGCTGCGGGCTCTCTTTCTCTCTCCTGGTATGTAGTACTTGCCTGTTCTCCGAGCTGGCTTTCATCTTCCCTCCAATCCATACCTCAAATCGAAATGACCGTCTTGCTTTCGACCTGTCCTACTTCGGAACTTGAATGCTACCGTAGTTAGGTGATGGCATCCCGACTCGTGTGTAATCAATCTTCTCGCTTCCACGTCAGTTGTGCAGCGAAAAAGAATAGAACGACCACTTTATGATGATCGTACGGTTTTTAATAAACTCACTTTTTAAAGTTTTCAACTTTGAGTTCGCTTTAAATTGTGTGAAATGCATTTTAAACAATTCCTTGCTGGTGGATCATCGCCCCAGGTTGCGCCTCATAATGGCCGTCATTTTGATGAATGCCAATGCGATCGTCCTCCGTCTCCGGGCCCATCCATATCCCCCCACCTTTTTAAACCGAATTTACTACTGCTTGTGGCGATTTGGACATCGCATCGCTCCCCATCTTTATCCCTTTCTCGGCCTCGTTTGATTTTGTGTTTCTCGTCCGCCAGCCGCCGCCCTCTTCCGGTCTCGTTTCCCGTCTCCCTTCTCTCGCCCCCACTTCTCCATTCGCCCACCGTACTCTTATCCGTTTGTGTGGTCAGCAGATGCATGAGTACCCCACGGGAGACTGGCAGTCCGCGTAAGTTGGGGTTTAGGGCTTCTCATCTGTTCCACTTTTCACCCAATGGGCCAATGCATGAGCTCGCTCGTTGCCTCGATTTTGGGAGGAGATCAGTTGCCATGATCATGGTTGCTCAGTGGGTACACAGACCATTGAACTGTTGAAATACAGACCCGAGTTCGAACCCGGATGATAGAACCTGACGAGTAAAACCAAATATTTCTGAATTGCCTGGGGCCGGTCAGCTCAATGATAATATCTCAAGGCCGTTGCCCTTTTAAAGAAGAAAAAAGGAAAGAAAAAAATCATGGTTGTTCTTCTCGGATCCCATGTCGAGCGAGAAATAGTCGTGGCGGCGATGTTGCTGGAAAACGAGGAATTTCAAAAAAAGAGCCTAAAAAACATGGTGGAGCTGAGGAGAAGCCCACATTATAGCTCTTGAGGCAAGAAGGAAAAGAGGAGAACGCGAGACCCCAAAACTTTTTGTTCTGTGACAGCAGGCAACGGTAGTATTGAAGACAAAGACAATCAAGACAACTCCCAATACCCTGTGCAAGCAGACCAGAAGACAATCAACATAGTCGGAGCTAACCGTGGGCTAGGTCCCACTTGCACGGCTTAAGAGATTCTGGCCGTTGATCTTTGCCATCTACGGTCAATATCGCTTAATTCGTGCAGGTGGGACCTAGCCCCGTGAGAGAGAAGTCCGCGAGAGCATTAGGATGTATATGGTCGCTTTTCCGACCTGGCCAAGAATCTGATGGACCTGGGCCCAAGTCCCACTAGCATTGCTCCTGTTCTGGTAATGGGGAATGGGGACCTCCCTGTTGTGTGACACTCCTTGCCACCGCCAATTTTCATGGATAGTAGGGTAACAAGGCATTCTCTTCATTTTCACGTTGCCTTATTGAGGCAGGCGGTGAACTCGGTGCTTCCCCATTGGCTGCCCATGTTCACCTTCTTTTGTCTAAGGTGGTCTGTGAGTCCTCCTCTCTGGGGGTTGCACATCACCCCCATTGGCTGCACATGTTCACCTTCTTTTGTCTAAGGTGGTCTGTGAGTCCTCCTCTCTGGGGGGTTGCACATCACCCTAGAGAGGGGGACCGGCAGTCCCGTTTCAGATATGGCGGTGATGAACCAAGAACAAAAAGGCAGAGGGCAAAGAAAAGGAAGAAAAAGTTTGAGTAAAAATGTGTGGAGGCTAGAGTTATTGGGCCTGGCTGCACTGCTCTCCTGTGGAGGCTAGAGTTATTGGGCCTCCCTGCACTGCTCTCCAAAGATGGAATTGGACAATGATCTTTCCGGCAAGAACATGGGAAGATACACTTCCATATGTTTTGTCTCTTGTGAATGTCGAGCTCACTGCAGCTGGGCCCATTCATTCATACCCCATACTCGGGGACTAGGCGGGGCAGCTTCCTCTGCGGGTTTTTTTTTTTTTTAAGGTAGGTACTCCATGTGGAAGAACTGGAAGGCTTAGCCGGCTACACAGCTGGATCATTCTTTCGCGCCAGGGAGAACATAAGGCCGCACAATGCCGCCCTCTGTCGCGATGTGCCGCCTGGTTCTGAAGACAGGAACAGGACCACAGCTAGTGGGACTTGTCCCCTGGTAACCGCTAATGCATTCACAACAGAGAAGGGAAAGAACTCCTACAGTAGTCAGAGTATGCCCTAAGTGGAGCCTAAGTGGAGCCAGGCTCCACTCTTGACCAGTGCTAAATGGAGACTCCACCAATTGGCCTATCTCAGTTGGTACACCCCTAAACTGCTGAAATACAGATGCAAGTTCAAAGAACACAATAAAATCATTCTGAATTACCTGGGGCCGGTGGGTTCAATGATGATATCTCAAGGCCGTCGCCCTTTTTTTTTAAAAAAAAAAAAAAAAAAAAAGAGACTCCGGGAGAGAGGCCCAGCTACTCTTGACTGGCCACATTATCAGAGTACTTCCCGTTCTTCTTCTTTTTTTGCCCCTTCTTCTCGACACAGCTAAATGAAAAGAAGAAAGAGTGAAGGAACTGACTACTCTCAGTTTCACGTCAGGAGTAGACCGTCCCGCCGGACAGGGGACTATGGGCCTCGCCGCACCACCGTCCAATAGGTACTTTTTTTGACATTTGTCAGGGCATACTCACACGGGGACCTATAATCCCAAAATCCCCAAAAAAAAAGGGAAAACGCTGGTCACACGGATCTACCAAATTCGCAAATGTACTATTCCAGTGCCCATTTGTCAGTGGCCTGAGAAGCCGCGGGGCAAGGGATTTTGCGGTCACCTCTGGAGAAGACCGCAAATTCCCTTTTTTTTTTTTTGCATTTTCTTCAAAAATTGGCAAAAACTCTTTCACAAAAGTTCTTGCACAATTGGTAGATGGCACCATGTGACCAGCCAAGTACCAAATCCCCATTTCTCGAGACGGCCGCGACCTTGTCCCATCTGAAAAGGTACAGCAGTGTGACGTGAACAATACCCAAAACCTCAAATAGGCCCTTCCCAAATCCGCATATTTTGCGGCTTTGGGTTCGCCGTGTGACTATGCCCTCATTGGGTTCGCCGTGTGAGTATGCCCTCAGATGAGTTTCGGCGGTGCACAGCACCGTAGAGACGTGCTGGTGTAGAAGTTCGAGTCAGGATGCATGCACTTTGACAGTCACTGTGCTGTGTGGAGACGGCGGGCGCTGTCGAGTGTTACCCCAGAGGCCCAATGTGTCCTTGAGGAGAGGACGCTATACCACGGCCAATGTCAAAGCGCGTGCAGACAACAAACTGAACAAGGAGCCACGACAAAACTGACAACGGTTGAATTCCGATGGCTTTTCGACGACCACAGGACTAGCTGTCGAGTTCTGACAGGTGTAGACCAATTTCTGACAGGTGTATCAGCCTGTGTGGCGACGTGAAAATGATGTGAAAATGTCAAAAATCGAGTTTTGGACTTTGGTGCGGCGAGGCCCTATTTTTGAGAGTGCTGCATAGGTACATTACGGGCCTCGCCGCACCACTGTAGAAAGTCGAAAAAAATCGACAGCTGGCAGAACAAATTCGACAGCCTCCGTTCGACAGTTTGCCCCCCTTTCGCCACACAGCACTGTAGAGTGCACGCACTTGTGAAAGCAAGATGGAAAATGACCAACCCCCCTGAGGGTACGACAAGCATTAGTCCATCCCGACCTTACCCCCACGCACCAAATTTCAAAGGGAAGTCGACCGCGCAGCCCAGGAGTGTCGAAAGCATCCGAGTAGCAGGCTGGGGATTCAAAGACTTTCTACAGTAGGTGTCGAGAAGCATTCTCTGACAACTGGCCAATTTTCTTCACGTCTCCGGCTTCGACAGCCTGTGGCAAAGAGAAACTGTAGAAAATCGCATTTTCGACAGTGGTGCCGCCAGGCCCTACGGTACTTGTTGCCCCAGGTTTTAGAAAGTAAACTTTTTTTTTTTTTTTTTTTTTTTTAATTTGGACCATTTCTCGATTTATGCTCTGTATCGTTCCAATTTTAACGGAAGTAAACATTTTTTTACGTAAGCAGCAAAAAAAAAACAAAAAAAAGAATTGCAAACACATATTTGGCATAGCATTCCGTTGAACTTCATTCTTCCATTACAATGCAATGAATTGCAGTGAGATGCGGGCTGTACACTAATTTTGTTGCTGCCTGTTTTGTGCTTTCCGGGATTCGATCCCGTGACTGGTATTGTGTGTGTGTGTGTGTTTGTCTGTGTGTACACTAACTGTGTTTGTTGGTTCCTTGTTTTGGGCGTTGGAGGACTTAAACCCGTGACTTGTAGTGTGTTTGTGGTGTGTGACTGTTTTTGAGGTTTATTGGGCTTGAACCTTGAACCTGTCCCTAGTAGTCTCTACTTCGCAGTCTTACCCACTCAGCCTTGTTGTTTTGTTCTTTTCTGCCCTTCTGGAAACTGGTAGGGTCCTTGGGGACATTTGTTAAAATTGGAAAGATACAGAGAAGATTAGCATGGAAAGAGAAAAAAAAAAAAAAAATGAAAAAAAAATAAACTGGTAGGCCCGTAGGTATTTCTTTGTGTGTCCTAGCCTTGGGTTCCCTTAGTCTAGGATTCCATCTAGATGCATGTAGGTAGATCTTGACTGTTGGGCCGTAGATGTTTTCTGTTTGGATGGTCAGATAGGTCTGTAGGTGGGTACTGTGTTGCAGGTCTAAGGAAGTCCGGTAGAAGTAGGCAGGAGCCCACGAACTTCGGGTTCTGCTTCCTCATTTTTTTACGAAGTGCTGCTGGAGGTTGCGGCTGCAGCTGCGCTAATTCAAAGTGCTCGTTCGTCTTCCTCGTTGAAGGGAAGCTGAAGGCCATAACTGGGCTTACCTGGCTGGTGCGGAATTGGCCCAGGGACATCAGGCCCTGCTCTGCGTGGTGCTTCCTCCATAGCTGTCCTATTGGGGTTTCAACAGCTGCCATCGAAGCAGCTTCTCTATGCCTGCCTCGAAGTGGCAGATCTTCATCTTCATCGATTTGCTGTTCTTCTTCATCATCCTGGGAGCTGCGCTCCCCTGCTGAGTGGACACTTCATCTGCAGTGGGCTTCTTGAGTGGTGCAGAGGGGTGTTGGATTTAGGAGGGTGTGTGGCGGTTGGCAGGCTTGATAGGTTG